CGGCCCCCGGCCGCCCCCCCGGTGCGGAGCTGCACGCTTTGTACAAGCCTGGGGCAGCACTGGTGGGTCCCGGTGTGGGGCAAGGCGCTGCGGAGGAGGAGGAAGAGGAGGAGGAGGAGGATGCTCGGTGCCAGGGAGCCATTCCGGAGCCTCCCTAGGCGGCAGGACCAGGGAAAGCCCGCGGCAGGGGAGCTCTGCTCATCGGCCTTCCCAGCCTCGTTGGCCTCGGTGCAAGACCGAGGTCCCGCAGAAAGGGACACTTGGGAAGAGACAGGCAGACACTTGGGTCCTTCCATTAAAGCCAGAGTTTGCTTCCCAGGCGCTGGCAGCAGAGACCCCCAGAAGGCAGCACAGGGGCTCCGGCCGGTCCCTGTGGGGTCGGGGTGGCCTTGGCAAGCCAAGCAAGCCCAGCCGGGCAGCGGCATCCCCACGGGAGCCAGCGTGGAGGCACTGTCCCCGTCCCCTCAGCCCGGCCAGAGCTTCCCAAGGAGCTGCTGCTCTGCTGACTTTAACCCACTCGTGCGGGCAAACCTGGCGCGCCGAGGCTGAGCGGCCCCCGTGGCTGCGGGGGATCCCAAAGGGATGGAGCCAGCAGACCCGGGACCAAGCTGCCTCCAAAAACCAGGTCTCTGGCTGGGAGCTGACCCCCACAGTAACACGGGCTGCATTTCCAACCCACCACACGGGTACTGCAGCCCATCTTCACATCACCCTCAGTGCTTCCAAGAAATCCTCCCAGGGAGGAGCAGGGCGGCTCCCCGCAGGGCAGGGGGGCCCGGCAGCCGCTGCAGCCCTGCTCACTTCCTCGCGATCTGGACGCTGGCGTACTCGGAGACGGACTCCTCAGGGCACGGCCGCCTGGGTGCCTTGCTGAGATGCACCATGTCCAGGTCGGCGTAGGTGAGGTTGTCGTCGCTGGCAGGCGCCTGGTTGGTCTGGATGCAGGCGTACTCCGACTGCTGGCTCATCTCAGCCATCCGGCGGATGATCTTCTTCTCTCTGTCGAAGTTCAGGTCCGCATAGGTCAGGTTGTTGGGGTCCGATTCCTGTGAGAGACACCAAGAGTTCATCCTCTGGGAGGAAGACCAGGTTGGATGGGGCTCTGAGCAACCTTATCCGGTTAGCAGTGTCCCTGCTCACTGCAGGGGGGTTGGACTAGATGACCTCTAGGGGTCCCTTCCAACCCAAAACATTCTATGATGATTCTATGATTCGCGAGGAGCTGCCTGTGCCCACCCCAAGCCCCAACACTGAAGTCAGTCCCACTGCAGCTCGATCTGGGACGGCTCCATCTCTGCCTGCAGAGGGGGAACGGTGCCAGCAGCCGGCTGGGATGATCCCGCAGTAATGCTTTACCCCATGCTCCACCTTCAAACCACAGCCACCGCTGCCACGGACGGGCTTCAGAGCCACCACCGTGATTCTAGAGCCACCACCGCCATTGCCCTGTCCTGGTAGGGGTGGGCAGGGCCCAGCCAGCCCAGCGATGCCCCCGGGGGAGCTGGCAGAGGCTGGCTGGGATGGACAGATTGTTGCTGATCACGACTTTGCTCGTAACTGCATCACGAAATGCCAAAATAACTCCACAAACAGCCTGGCTGGCTATCGCACAGCTGGTTCCCCAGGCAGCACAACCCCAGGCTTTCCTGGGGAGAGGAGGAGGAGGAGGAGTATGAAGGCAGAAAAGATGCTGGGAATTGGCTACCCCATCCCTGGGGCAGCTTCTCTTCCCTCTCCAGCCACAGCATGGAGACACTGAGGTGTTTCACAGGGGAACCACCCCCCTCCACTGGAGACAGCGGGATGTTTCGTGCAGGAACCACCCCCCTCCACTCCCACATCTGGGGCTCCCCCTCCCCGGGTCCCGGGGTGAGCAACACACCTGGGTAGTGGCCTCGCTGCTCTTCTCCGGCTCATGTAACCTGAAAGAGGGAACAAAACAAGTCAGAGCGAGTGCCCAGGTGCCCCTTCCCCAGTGATGGAGCAACCGGGGGGGTTCAGATGCCAAACAGGGCCCTTGCAGCAGCCCCAAGCAGGATGAATCCTGGCCAAGCCAGCACTTGCTCACGTGCTGGTCCAGCTACACCTCTGCAGGCTGGAGACCTTGTTCGGCCTCGCCAAAAGTTTGGGTAGGAGATCACGGCAGGGGCAGAACCACAACCAGGGAGCTTGGCAGAGCCTGCACTCCTGCCTTCCTTTTCACGACCAGCTTTTGGGGGTCCAGCTCCACCCCAATCCCAAGAAACCCCGTTTGCAGGCTGGAGATGTCCAGCTCAGAGCGCCCACTGGTTACGCAGAGGCCGGAGGAGATGGGCACTTACCTGGCAGACGGCGAGCTCTTACCTGCCGGAAGAGAGACAGTTTAGGAAAGAAATAGTTCAGGCACCAACACAACATCCCCCCGCCTCGCCACTGCACCCGGCGCACGAGCCCACTGCTGCAAGAGCCGAAACACGGCTTTTCCCAGAAGCGAGAGGCTGCAGGTTGCTGGAGTTTCACCCCATTGACCACAGGACTGCTCCTGGCAGGGGACAGGGGGGTGTCCGACGGTTGAGGTACAAGGAATAACAAGCATGTTTGACCCTGCTCCCGACAGGCGTTGCCACGTGGTGGCACCAGGCAAAGGTTCCTCTGCAGCCTGCAAACAAGCCGACCGGCTCTGCTCCGTCCTCCCCGTTGGGCAGGAGATGCAGCAGCACAGTCCTGAATTTGGTGTCCAAGCACTGATGCTTGGGAGAGAGGGAGCCGGGGGTCAGGAGCAGCTCTCCCCTGCCGGGCACTGGGTTTCCTTACCCTTGCTCTGCTTTGCCCGGATGAGGTACAGAATTGCAACCACCAGCAGCACCAGCACAGTACAGACCACTCCCACCACGATGTAGATGAGGAGCAAATTCTCTGAAACATGAAGGAAAAAGGTCACCACAGGCCTGAAAATGCTGGTATGGACCGAGTCCCCACAGCCTTAAGGCTGGGGTAACACCTGAAGCACCAGGGACGAGAGCTCAGTACCTGCCAGCACCACCACCCCTCTCCCAGTCCCCCGACATGGAGATTATCTGTCCTTGAACCAGATTCTGGTGGGGCTTTGAGCTTTCTCAGAGGGGTGGCACCCTAAAGCCTCCCGGGCAGGGACCGCATCCCAGCAGCTCTCACGCACCCTTACCCGCCTGGGATGAGTTGCTTGATGCCTCCTTGGCTGGGACAGCAATCCACAGGACAGCCGTCTTGTTGATGGGGTCCTGGGCATCGTGCACCACCCGGCAGGTGATCATGGACCCGTTCTTCTCCTCCGTCGCTTTGACCTCCACCAGGCTGCTCAGCTGGAACAAACCCTGGGGGTTCTCCACCAGCCGGGAGATGTTCTCCACCATCCGCGAGATGTTCTCCACCTT